AGGGTGTATACTGAAAGTTTACACGGGGATGGGAGGAGACAAGGAAATAGGAACATGCATGGGAATGGGAGGCGGGAATATTTGTAGCATGCGTGGTGCTAAGACAAAATCAAGTTCTACGTGTCTCAGAAAGCATTTTATTCTGGTTGCTTATCAGTCATGCATTTGCATCACGCATGCTTGCATCTTGTAGCATGAATTCCACCACCGCCATCACCTAATATCCGTTATAATCACCTGCCTTTGAAGCCGCTTCGCCAACCATCCTGAACCTCGCTGCGCCTTCTGCACTGCTGGCTGCTCCGGATGACCTGTACCGGTATTCGACTGAGCCAATATCGAGGACAGGAACTGTCGCTCGCGATTGATGAGCTTAGCAAGGCGACGGCGGCACTCTGCGCTGAGCTTGGTAGGAGGCAAGCTCTCCACACGTGTAAGCAGTCGATTGGCGCGTTGGATAAATGCGTGTATTGGAGAGCATGCAGCAGCGGGACCGACGGAAGCAGGAGCAAACATTCCGTCCATTTTAATCGATTAACCTAACTCTGATGGCTGTTTTCAACTACTAGGGACAAGGTAAGAATGCTGCGAGGCTCTGCGAGTGGCGGAAACTTGGAAACACGTTGGGAGGGAGGCTCTGCTTTTGCAATGACACAGCGTTTCATTTGCTCACAAATGGAAAACGGAACCTTGAGAGGTCGCAAACAAAGTGCAATATCAGCATCTGAATTAAAAAGGTAAAACATATTTGCTATGCTCAGCAGTAAAGAATACATGTGGAAACTACTCGATATAGTCTATCATCTTCAGAGATAGCGTAGAGCGTGTCAAACAAGAGCTGATGTCAGGTCAGCACACGCGCATCGTTCTCATTCGTTCATAATATGTGGTCGATTATTACGATGCCACAACACGGGAGGTCCACTTGCTCAAATCCTCTTCAGCCTACCCGACTCCGACGTGCACACCGATTGGTTCCCTCCCATTACACATGATGCCCAACCCGTGCACGCGAATTTGCCCTGCACCGGATGGAAACCCTGCACCCGAGGTTTTTTCCCCAGCCAGTTGCACGCCCGTTACAAGCACGTCGCGCAAGTTGCAGTGGTTATGAACCAATAGTAACGAACAGACCGAAGTCACACTGAAGAGACTGAAGTCAAAATGTCAACGGATAGGTTACAAAAGTTTTATAAGCACCTGACGAATCCTTTTTTGCTAGCTGCGAATCGACGAAATTTAGGCGAAATGCGAGTTACAGCTTATAAGCCCCCTTTAGAAGGCAACCGGGAGTGGCTCAAACGGGCATCATGTGTACTCCTTCCCAGCCTTTTACCCTGTGTGAGCCCCGGGAAGGATCAAGCCTACCCCAGGGCGTTTTCTTAGCCGATAAACCCCGCATTTTGCGCCCTTCATTTTCCTGATGTTGCAAGGGTACCCTCATTCCGTGTTTCAGAACCCCTCTGCGGTGTGTATATTAAGAAGCGGGGAAAAAATGGTAGTCTGGCTGGTAAGATTATGGAATTTGTACTCCACTGACCCGTGCATTTTGGACAGTACACGGTATGGGGGATGTACTACTTCAAACTGCCCGTGCGAACAGCGGGTTTGCAATTCCAGAAAACAGACCTAGAAGTGCAGCAGATAGTTGCTTTGGTGGTGTTGGCAAGGCGTTTAGCGCATCTGAATGCGTTGCGTGACAGTTTTCATTTTCGGGTCATATCCGGGTTCGTTTGTCGTGGTCTAACACGGTCAACCACGTTTAGGAGCGGTGTGGTTTTCCCGCTTTAAACCATTGCGCACCAGACCATCAATGAAAATCAATCATAAACCAATGAAAACCACGCGTCCCCAGCAGACTACAGCTGGTGAAGGAATAAAGTCATCATATTTCACAAGCAAACGCCTATTTTACAGTTACGGACTCCGCAATTCTTTCAGACCGAGCTTTGTTTAGAAGCATTTCATGCTCGGCATTGTGAGGTCGTCCCTTTCACGCGTGCATCCGATCTCCCTTCTGCTGCCAAATCTAGCGCCGTTCTCTTACCGACCAGCTTTTACTCACCCGCAAACGACAATGTCGGCCGACAAGGATGGAGATAGCCGCGTGGAAGGGCTCAAAAAGTCAATCCGAGCCATCCCTGATTGGCCTAAAAAGGGTGAGCACCTCCGCAATTCGATTTCTTTTCCAATGCGTGTCTTTTTAGCGATTATGCCGTCCAGCGTTTGGTCGTTATGATTTTCTTCCTTGGATGCACGGACGCTGTCCTGTGACGCTATCCTTGCCAAGACAGTGTTTTCAGGGAGTGCTATTATGCGTGACATTGATGTTCGTTTCAGGCATCATGTTTCGCGACGTGACGACGCTGCTGCTGGAGCCCAAGGCGTTCCAGGACTCCATCGACATGTTCGTCGAGCGCTACAAGGGCAAGGGCTACACCGCCGTCGCTGGTACGCGTTCTAGTACAGTTACTCCGCGTATGACACTCACGCTTTTGACAGTTCACTGATTCCTCTTGCAGCTTCTAGGCATTATCGTGCTGTTAATCCTATATTTCCATTCAATTATCAGGATCAACATCGTCTTCACTGACTTATCCCCAAACCCCCGGATTTTCTGATCCCTTAAATCTTGCTGACTTCTGCACCAGGAATCGAAGCACGGGGTTTCATCTTCGGCCCGCCTATTGCTCTCGCCATCGGCGCCAAGTTCGTCTGCATCCGGAAACCACGGAAGCTTCCAGGTCAGCAGCACAGCTGAAGAACAGTCATTGGTCAGGGACCCTGGAAAAAAAAAAACCGAGTCGTTGAGAGAACCAAAAAAATGTAGAAATGAAACAATCTGTAGGTGTAGAGTCTACACAGCATGTCCGAAATTGGCTGGAATCATGTCTCGCATTCATCCACTCATCCACTCATTTACTCAAACCCTGACAATTGACTCCCACCATATCCCTTATTCTTGTCAAGCCACTCTCCTGTTTCTTCCCTTCTGTCAGGTTCATCAATAAAAAAAACTCATTTAGACACTTTCGGATAAGATTGCGATGCTCTTCTGTGCCAGTTTGGGTCCTCACTGAACATCCCCTCTCCACATTTTCCCACCTCTCAGGCGCGACGATCAGCGAGGAGTATACGTTGGAGTACGGAACGGATAAGATTGAGATGCATCTGGGGGCTGTGGGGCCGGAGGACAAGGTGCTGCTGGTGGACGATCTTGTGGCCACAGGAGGAACTCTCGGCGCTGGCATCCGCTTGATAGGTACGCACTTCCTCAGAGTTGGTGCTGTGAGTGAAGTGCTAGTACCCAGAATGAGCCGCCTTGGGGACTGGAGGGAGACAAGGTGCTGCTGGTGGACGATCTCGTGGTCACAGGAGGGACTCTTGGCGCCGGCATTCGTTTGATAGGTATGTACGAACCTTCTCTGAATGGTTGCTGGAAGATCCTGGAGGGAGGCAAGGCAAGGTGGTACTGGTGGACGATCTCGTTGCTACAGGAGGAACTCTCGGTGCTGGCATTCGTTTGATAGGTACGCAGTCCCCTTCTAGTATGGCCGCAGTTACATAGTAGCCGTGGGGCCGGGGGGCAAGGTGCTGTTGGTGGATGACCTCGTGGCCACAAGAGGGACTCTTGGCGCTGGGGGACAAGGTGCTGTCGGTGAATGATCCAGTGGTGGTCACTGGTGGCACCCTTCCGTTGGCAGTCGAGAGTTAGGTACACCGCTCTCACCAATAATTTATGTGTGTTTAATGGATTACTGTACTAGTACCCTGAAGAAGTCGTGAGGCCTGGACAGAAGCAGGGTTCTGCTGGCGGACGATCTGATGGCCACGAGAAGAACTCTCCTTGCTCGCAATATGATTGTTAGCCTGCCCGCTATTGGTTGGTATCGACGCAGTTGGATAACCGTAGGACCTGAAGGGTGGCTGAGTGTTGCTGGCGGAGTAGTGGCCTCGGGAGGAACTCATGGTGCTGGTTACTATTTGTCAATTAGGTTTAAGGTCATCCTTTCGTTTGGCCGTGTTCACTGATGCTGCAACCCTCAACCCGGCGTTTCTCTGCTTCCTCCTCCATCCTCCGTCTCTCCTGTGAGCTTATCCTGTTCTCTTCCTCCCCGTTGCTCACTCACTCCCCCTCTCTCCTTTGTGCTCCTCCAAACACATTACCCTCTGTCCCCACCCCATACCATGGCTTTACAGAGCGAACTGGGGCACAAGTGGAGGAGTGCGCATGCGTCATTGAGCTTCCTGATTTGAAGGTACGGTTGTCTTTTCTCGGCCTGGATTTTGTTGCTCGTGGCTTGTGTGTATCTGTTCTATGAGAGGTAAATGGCATCAACTAAATCATGGCTCTAATTTTCTCTTCCTCTTCTTTTGGTTTCAGGGACGTGAGAAGCTTGGATCAAAGCCACTTTATGTATTGGTGGAGTATGAGGGGGAGTGACGAACAATCTGTGAAAACAATTTGTTATCACTGATTTCTGGAGTTATCTTCATTACCGTATTTGCAATACTTCCTTCACAAAACAAACTCACTGCCTGCATTATTTCAAGTAGACAAAACGTATTGAAGTGCAAAAATGGATGAAAGTGGAATTCCCTAATATACGATAATAATGAAGGGGGGAATATGTACGAATAACCGAAAGACAAATGGAGGAGCCTAACTACAAAATTGAAGACCAGGGCCACCGAGGAAGCTGACCAGGTCCGAATAATGACGAGCGCGACACGACGTGTATAGAGTGTGCTTCCTTTGCGGCCAGTGAAACCGCCTCTAACGACCAACTCTTTTTCTCTGTTCTGTCCAGGCCTTCAAATATCCCCCACCATCTTCGCCCCCCCACAGACTTGCAGCAGCCTGAAGTGTTCCTTCGCAATATGACGACAGCTTCTCTACGTCTCCTCGGTCCCCCCTCCCCGTTATCTTTCGTCAAGGAAACTGGAAACCAACCGTTCCTGTCGTGTTACCACGGGGAGAGCACGATTCTCATCTCCCGTCACCGAGCGAGGGTCTCGAAAAGCTCGAGTCCGTCGAGCTCGATGGCGCAGCGGATGGGAGCCACCCGCTTCTGCGGCTTCTGCGAGGCCGATGATGGAGCGGCGTCGGCGGACGTCACTACGGCTTGGCAATTGGAGACTTTAGTCTGCAGAACGCAACAATATGGAGAGGCTTTAATTAGTCAATTATGAGAAATTATGTGTTAAAAAGACTGGCGGAGAGGCGAGCGAGAAAAAAGGTTGCGGGATGAGACACAACGACAAGAGTCTAACGAGTATTTACCTGATTGGAACCCTGATAGCCATACGAGGCCAGCAGTCCGGCAGCAGCTCCGGTTATGCTCGCAACAATCTTGGAAGTGGGACTGGCCATAGTCGCTCAGAAGGTCAGAGTCTAGAGCTCGGCTTCGGCGTCGACGTCGAAATCGTCTAAGCGACAAAGAATCTGGCCGAGGGAGCGTAATTAGATGCGAAGCGAGCGACACGGAACGAGGGATAGAAGTAGCTAGATTGTTGCAAACAATGCTTGAGAACAAGAATGCTCTTCTCGCTGCTTTTGAACTCCCAGGTTTCCACAACAACGGCGGTTCTTCAGCTTCCTCCTCACTCTTGACTTCCCATCCCAACAACCTTCCGCTGTAATCTCAATCCAATCCCAAGGCGGTGGGCTGGCCTCGCGCCCCCTCGAACGAAACTGCTGCTGCCAGGAATCGAGCAGCACTTTCGCGGATCGCTATTCGCGAGATGCTTGTTCAGCCTTCGCGAACACGTGAAGCTGGCTTCGCCGCCAACCGCAGCGTGTTGCTCACTCTTTCGTCACACATCTTCCATTTTCCGTCGCCGCTGCTTCCGCCCGGTGCGCGCCAAGGCTTCTCTGCCTCATTGGGGGATGGGCGCTGCATTACCCCTACCCTCCCCCACTCCCTCTCGGTTCCTGAATTGAGGTCGAGATTCGCTGATCGACAAAGCCCGAAGGGCAAAGATTATGCAGGGCAGCCCGAAACCGGGAGATCCCAACAACCAACGGTGCGATACGATCCGAAGGTTGATGAAGGTGGACTTCTGCTCGGACCACCAACCGGAAGCCAATATCGAGGCTGACGGCCTGCCCGATGTTGATGGCAATTGACAGGTTTGATATGGTGATAACTCAGGGGAAAGGATAGACTCGACCTAGATGCGACACGAGATATTCCGGAGATTGTGGTCCATCACAACTCAGCGATGAAATTTCTTGCAGTTGGTTGCCGCCACGCTGTCGAATGTGGCGGTCAAACTGGCTACGGTTCACTCACGTGGCACGTGTGCAGAAGTCAGCGCGTCGCGGGTGCCTGCGCCGTTTCGAGAATACAATAGGAGCCACGTCACTTTCAGTCAGGCTTAGGGGTCGTGATGCGCACTGATAAGTTTGACACGTGGTGCCACGCGTTAGGTGACAGCAGAACTCGTTACTGGCCCTTCCGCGAATGTCGTAGAACAGATGTGTCAGGCAACTTTTGTAATTCAGTACAAAGGTGTCCAATAATGAAACCTGTTGTGGTGTCTTTCAGATGAATGGAATTTGTACAAGAATTGCACGGAGTAAGGAAGGATGTATATGGAGCGATTTGATAAAGCGCAAATGCAGCATTCGAAAAAAAAAAATACACATGGGAACTGCCATTGAATTCAGATGGTAAGATGACATTGCTAAATCAGGGGAAAGTTGTTCTAGGACATCACACAAGTCACGGCTCTATAAGCTACTTTGCCACATGTACACACAAGATCACATACACCTAGGCCCCCTGAATACTTATAGAAACATTCATTCATGGCTGCCTTTCGCATGCAGCCTCTTTGTCTTTAGCTAGCAACATAAAAAAATGACTCATTCAACCACTGGCATCTCGAACGCACATTCACGGCACATTGCGGATCTGCATGGACTGCAGCCCTCCATCAAAGGCGGTATCGCTGCCAATGATGTCTGAGACTGTGATCACCAGGTCTCCCGACTTCATCATGCCGCGCGCCTGCATGCATGGGATGGGATGGAGTGTCATGGGCATGGTGGGGTTCATGAGCATAGTGCAGGGCAAGCACTATCGCTGCCAATGATGTCTGAGACTGTGATCACCAGGTCCCCCGACTTCATCATGCCCCTCGCCTGCATGCACGGGATGGGAAAGGGTGTCATGGGAATGCATGGGGGCTTCATGCGTGTCGTGCAGAGGCAAGCACTGAAGCGACGAGCGGAGCGGACGCACGATCGCAATTAAAAGGTTCTGCATGCGGTTGTAGTGCAGTGGCGAGCATAAGAACAGGACTTCAAGCGCCAAAGGCGACCGATAATGCTTACAGGTTTGGGGCGTACAGACCAGCTGACCCACTCACTCACTCACTCAGACATATCTTGAGCAGCTTGAAGGGGCACAGGATGTTGGACTTCATGTCATCTGAACCACTCACTCACTCTGTTTTGCACCCACTCACTCTATGCCTCACCCACTCACTCTGTCTCACTCACTCACTCACCCACTCACACTGTCTCACCCACTCACTCTATGTGTCACCCTCTCACTCTATGTGTCACCCTCTCTCCATGTGTCACCCTCTCACTCTATGTGTCACCCTCTCACTCTATGTGTCACCCTCTCACTCTATGTGTCACCCTCTCACTCTATGTGTCACCCTCTCACTCTATGTGTCACCCTCTCACTCTATGTGTCACCCTCTCACTCTATGTGTCACCCTCTCACTCTATGTGTGACCCTCTCACTCTATGTGTGACCCTCTCACTCTATGTGTCACCCTCTCACTCTATGTGTCACCCACTCCCTCCACTCATGCTACCTTGAGCAGGTTGAAGGTGCGCTGAATATTGGACTCCATGTCATCTCGCCCACTTGCTCTGTGTCTCACCCACGCACTCCACTCACACCTTCACTCCCATAACCACGAGTGAAGGTGAGACATCTGGGTAATGCGAGTGCATACCTTGAGCAGGTTGAAGGTGCGCTGGATGTTGGACTCCATGTCGTCTGAAAGGTCCATGTCGTCTGACCCACTCACTCAACCACTCGCTCACTCACCACCCACTCCCTCACACATACCTTGAGCAGGTTGAAGGTGCGCTGAATGTTGGACTCCATGTCATCTGAGAAGTCCAGGCGGAATGGGATGAGTCCCCACGACAGGTTCAGCTGCTGCCGCACGCCCTGTTGGATGTTAGGCAGAGAGGAAACAACAAGGAGAGGGGAAAGGATGGTGGGGGGCGGGGTGTGCAGAAGGAGAGTCGATGAGAATTCTCCCAGGTAATGAGCCCCCCACGACAGGTTCAGCTGCTGCCGCACTCCCTGGTGGCAGACAGAGCAGCACAGGAAGGAGAGGGGGAGGGGGGCCTGCGAAAGAAGGTCGAAGCAGGGGCCACAAACAGAGAACTGTAGGCGCGGGATAAAGAGATGCTGCTTATGTTGTTGGGTGTAATTGAGAGATGTAGGCCAGGACAAGGAGATGTGGGCAGAGGAGAGCAAAGATGAACTGGTGGGAGAAGATAACAATGAAACGGGAGGGACCTCACACACGCGCCTCATAGGAGGCAAATGGACTCTCACACTCTCTCACACGCGCACCTGCGAGGAGGTGAAGGCGAAGATGGGGCAGTCGGGGCGGCAGCGCACGCCACGTGGGAGGAGGTGAAGGGCCTCTTTCACTCAACACACCTGGCACGAGGTGAAGGCTGAAGTGACTCTCTCTCTCTCTCTCTCACACACACACACGCGCACCTGCGAGGAGGTGAAGGCGAAGATGGGGCAGTCGGGGCGGCAGCGCGAGAGCAGCGATGCCATGTAGCCGCGGTGGGTGTAGACGAATATGGCATCCACCTTCAGCTTGGCGGCTGGTGAGGGGGAAGGTCACACAGAGGGATGAGTGAGAAGGGAGGAGGAGGATGAGAGCAACAAGAGTCGGGAGAGAGCAGCGATGCCATGTAGCCGTGGTGGGTGTACACGAATATGGCATCCACCTTCAGCTTGGCGGCTGGTGGGGGAGGGACAGGGGAGGGGAGAACGGGGAAGGGAGAGGAGAGAAGTGAGGGGGCGGCGGGGAGTTAGTTGAGTGCTAACGAGAGCAGCGATGATGCCTTGTAGCCACTGTGGGTGTAGACGAATATAGCATCCACTTTTGCTTGCGTGCATGGTCACAGGGCCGCTCACCCATGTGGGCAGCAGCAGCACAAATCTGCTCAGAAAACACGTCGGAGAGCTCTGGCAGCAGAGCAATGTCCGCCTCCTGCCCCCCACTGTGTGCAGCCCTCCCCTGCTCTCTCCTGCTCCCTCATGTATGGTTGGTGTTGGATAAAGGTAACCACCACAGTCACTCACCCATGTGCGCAGCAGCGGCACAGATCTGCTCGGAGATCCGTTCAGACAGCACGTCGGAGAGCTCTGGCAGCAGTGCGATGTCCGCCTCCTGCTCGCCGCTGTGTGCTGCCCGTCCGTACCCCTCTATCCTGGTCGCCACGGTGCGCAGCACTGCCAGCGCCTTCTCTGGGAACTGCCCGATGGCCGACTCGCCTGAGAGCATCAGGGCATCGGCACGTTGCCTGACCGCCTCTGCTGTGTCCGCCACCTGGAGAATGTAGTAAGGAACGGGATGAAAACAGGGAGGTTAGGAGGGGCGGGAAGCTGTAAGTCTCTCAGCAGAGCCACTCAGCGTTGCCTGGACTGGACACTCGCAACCCCACAATGATCCCCTCCCCCATCCCTCACTACTGAGCCAACAAGCATCGCCACACCCCTCTGCCCCCCTCACCTCTGCACGTGTGGGCGTGGGGAACTCGATCATGGACTCCAGCAGTTGAGATGCCACGATGACCGGCTTGTTGAGGTCACGGCAGATCTGCACAATGTCCTGCTGGACTGATGGCACCTGGTGGGGCAATGAGAGGAGGGCATGAGTGGGGGATGCGGAGGTGGCGGCGGGTTGTTGTTTAAGCGTCACATCAGTCACCGGCCTGTTGAGGTCCCGGCAGATCTGCACGATGTCCTGCTGCACTGACGGCACCTGGTGGGGCGGATGGGGGGGACAGGAGGTGGGGGAAGAGAGGGGAGTTGGGCAGTTGTGCGGTAGCGACACAGCAGGCACAGGCTTGTTGAGGTCGCGGCAGATGTGCACGATGTCCTGTCCTGCTGCACTGACGGCACCTGGTGGGGCAGGATGAGAGGAGGGGATGAGTAGGGGAAGAGGAGGTGGCGGCGGCGGGTTGTTGTTCGGATAGCGTCACATCAGTCACCGGCCTGTTGAGATCACGGCACGGCAGATCTGCGCCATGGCGACATCCGAGACGGCAATGATCTCCTGCAGACGAGCAACACACTCTCACGGTACCCC